AAATAAGAGTTAGATGGTAGAGCAATAGAAGAAAACTGTTTGATTTTATTACTGATGAGTTTTTAATGCCATTCTTAAATCCATTGGTTACTTCATTAAAGCTTCTTGAACAATTATTTTGCATATTTGCTAATTTTGTATTAGTTCTCCCACTACATATCAAGGTGTTATTCATTTTATTATTATTTTGTTAAATTATTCTTTGTAAATGATAATGATATGCAAGGATACTAAAACTGTCAATTAACCTATAAAATACCTACAATATTTTTAATATGATGAAGAATTTTTTTTATATCCTGTTTCTGTTAGTGAAATTGTTTCAATGCTCATTAGACACAGCCCTGTCAGAAATTCGGGTCAAATTCTTTCTGAACTTAGATGTAGATGAGTCCTTTGATAGAATCTTATAGAGTTTCCTTTCTCCCTGAAAATTCTTGGCTCTTGACTATAAAGCCTGCATCTGGAAGTTGAAAAATAATTATATTCATGAAGTTCAAGCATGATAATATCTGTATTGGGTCACTAACAACTTTTCGATTAGGATGGCTAAAACATAAATATGAAAAGAGTAGAATGTAGTTAAGTTAGATATTAAGTAAGTAAACCTAAATAATATCCCTTATGTGGCAAAAGCAGAGAGCAAATATATAGGAAAACATAAAGGTTTCAATTTCATAATGCCAGAAATGATATAATGGGAATGAGACTATGGGAAGGATAGTTGTGGTGGGATAGAAGTCCACATAAAATTTGAAGTCACGCAATACAATTAAATAGTTTAAGACAGCATTTGCTAAATAAAAATATAATTTCAAAACATAGTGAAATAGTCCTTTAAGGACTCTTTGAAAGCACAACATAATGATAGCAGTTTTACACACCCAGTAAAAGATTAGCTTATCTTTGTGGTTATCATTAGTATGTCAAAATTACCATGACTTCTTTTGACACACACAGATGTACTTAAAATCAGTCATAGCATTATCAATGCTCACAAGTATGAAGAAACATCCTACTGATAATGGAATAAGTTTTTAAAGTTGTAGCAAAGAAATACCTTTTAGTATAAATCTCTTTAGCAAAGTAAACCAATGGTTTACACTGCCGTAAACATCACAGTGTGTTTACATGCCTTAGAATCTTAAGATTTTTAAATTCAAAAGTCTCAAGTTTGTGGTGATATTTTATTTGTGCTGAAATGTGATGATATTTTATTTGTATGTTAATAAATAAAGTCTGCCTCGAGATCAAAGGACATAGCCAGCCATTTTTAGTTAAACATAGAATTCAGGCAGTGGTAGCACATGCCCTTAATCTAATCACATGGCAGTCAGGGTCTCTGTGTGTTTAAGGACATACTAGGAAACAGCCAAGCATGGTGACACACGCCTTTAATCCTAGTATCAACCATAGAGACCTGGAGGTCTATACAGACAGGCAATGACAAGGAAGTGAGGTAGCTGGGCTAAAAGCCAATCAGAGGGCAGAACAGGAAGGCAATAAAGGTGCAAGTTAGACAGGAAGTAGCTCTCTTGGAAAACTATGGTGGTGGGGTAAGTTAAGGCTAGCTGGTGTCTCTATTTCCCTGATTTCTAAGGCTTTCACCCCTATATTTGGCTCTGTGTTTCTTATTTAATAAGATTATTTAGAAATTAGTCTATAATCCATTTAGTAATTGATCTACACAAATTGGTTTGATTTAAAATTATAGAATATATATTAACGAGGTTGCAGTTCTGATAAATTTCAAATGATATGAGTTTTTAGGATATATGAAAATAATACAATTTTAAGAAGTCTACATGTATTTACTACATACAAAATAGACTAAAAACTAGACAATAAAAATATTTTAATTATCACTTTAACTAAAATCAAGAAACAGTAATACAACAAAACAAAAATAACACCTAAATATGTGGACTATATACATTGTAGTCAGGATTAGTTAGTGACATAACTCGACGAAGCTTATTTCATTATCTGCAAAATGAGGTAATATGAAATACAGAGGATAGTCTCTATGAACGACTTTTTTCTTTAGAACAACTATTACTAATCCCACTCTTGCCTTATTTTAAAAAATATTTTTTCATCTTCCCCAAAACAATGATCAATGCTACCATAAATATGGTTTGCAAATATTCCCTCCTAAATTCAAATATATTATTTCATCTTCCTCTCCTAGGGCTTGAAAGTTGGGTCAGCAAGTAAACATGCCTGTGACCTGAGTTCTGGTAAGAACCCACATGGTGGCAGGAGAGATCTGATGTCTAAAAATTGTCCCATAAACTCTCGCATGTACTATGGCATATTCAACCCTGGTACTATACCTATAACAAGGAAATATATGCAAAAATAAGTGAAAAAAATGTTCAAAAAGAAAAAGAAAAATATTTTAGTAGTAACCATTACATTCTTTTCAGGAGGTGGAGAATGTGATGAATGGTATTCCTTTTTAAATTTAATTTAATTTTATGTGTATGGGTGTTTTGCCTGCATGTATGTGTGTGGATAGCTTACATGTCCAGTGCTTGCATATGATCCCATAAAACTGGAGTCACAGATAATTTCAAGCTGCCATGAGGGTGTTGAGAATAAAATGTCTTCCCTGGAAGAGGAGCTCTGGCCATTGCTCCTAACCACTATGCAATCTCTCCAATGCCAGAATGATATTTCTTTAGGACAATTTATTTGAGTATCTTTTCTAGAACTCCTCAAGTTGGAAACTATAGATAAAACCCTTAATGTAACATAATGTCAACCTTCTAAGAATATGTTTTCCTTTATACCTTAAATTATTCGACTAATATAAAATGTTAACTGTCATTAAACAGAAAAAACATTAATAACTGTGTTCCATTCCATTTTTTATTCAGGGCATCATAAACTGAATAAACAGTCTGATTTTATTCTGTGACTTGATGCATTTAAAATTAATGTAAAATATAAATGATATTTATTCTTACAATGACAGAAATTGGTAAGGCATGATAAAGTGTTTTAGCAGTGAACTGTTTATTTTAAAAAAGATATAATTGAGACTCCTTGTCTTGTTTTCTTTCTTTTTCAAAAAAGTTTTTGTAGATAAATATGTTTTTGTTTGTTTGTTTGTTTGTTTTTTGTATGTGTGTGTCTTTGTGTAAGTGTATGTGCACATTTGTGAAGGTGCCTAAAGAAGGTATTGTGTATCCTTCTCTATTATTCTTCCCACATTCCATTGAGAAACAGGCAGGGGTGGGAGGTGTCTCTCCTGAAGCCACAGATCCTGGTTTTCGTTTGCTTATTTGTTTGTTTGTTTGTTTGTTTTAGAAGATAGGAAGCTATACTCCAACAATAGCCCTGCCTCTATCTCCCTTTGAGCTGGAGTTACAGGCCTACAGAGAATGTCCAGCTTGGTATATGGGTGCTGTGATCCAAATTCCAGTCCTTGTGACTGAATAGAAAGTTCTGTTAACTGCTAAGCCATCTCTTCAGGTACTACTCTGAGAACACAGACTCATCACAAAAATCCTCTACGTTTAGAATTTTATAATAGCTATGAATTTAAGCAATGTATTACTTAAACACCTATTAATGATAAGGGCTTTGGCTGAGGTAAGCTTTTTTGCGTCATGTGCCATTTTCCCCTTCAGTTAGTGCCTCACATGGCAAACTCTACCAGAGCAGAATACATATGAAATTTTATCTTAAATATTCCACAGTGTTACATAATATTTGTTTAATTATGTAAATATATATTGCTCCTTTAATTTGACTTTACCTTGACTACCTAAGGCACCTGATTGGTCTAATAAAAAGCTGAGCAGCCAATAGTGAGGGAGGAAGTATAGGTGAGACTTATTGGCTGGGGGAGTAAGTAGGAGGAAGAATTTAGGCTTGGGGGAGAAAGAAAAAGAGATGCCAGGAAGATGCCAGGAGCCAGTTCACCAGAGACAGAACACAAGAAAATTAGGATATACAGAATGAAAGAAATGTAGAAAGCCCCAAGGCAAAATGTAGATGGATAGCAACAGTTTAAATCAAGTCAAAAGAGCTAGTGTGACAGTCCTAAATTAAGGTTGAGAATTCATAATCAATAATAAATCTCCATTTCTTAATTTGGGAGCTGGTTGGTGGCCCAAAGAAAATTCCAACTACACACAGAATCAGAAAATAAACAGAATAGGAATGTCAAGGGAAAATAGTTTTGAGATTATTTATTCACAAAAGTATTTTTAAGAATGCATTTAAAATGAGAGATGGTAATTGTTAATGAGTTTGTTAATAAATGACATTTTCATGGAGAAGATAATTTCTTACTCTACTTATGGCCATTCGGTTCCAAATGGGAAAAATAACACACTTGTAATCCCAGTATTCCGCAGGCTAAATCAGGAGAATTACAACTTCCAAGCCAATTTAAGCCTCCTAATAAGACTCTGTGCCTTAGTCAGTATTCTATTACTATGAAAAGATAGCAGAACCATGACAACTTTTATAAAAGAAAGCATTTATTTGGGGCTTGCTTACAGTTTCAGAGATTTAGTCCATTCTCATTATGGCAGGGAACATGGTAGCACACAGGCAAACATGTTGCTGGTGCAGTAGCTGGGAGGATCCACGGGTAGATAGAGGAGAGAGATTCTGGTCAGAGAATGGACATTTTGAGAACTCAAAATCCATCGCCAGTGATACTTCCTCCAACAAGAACACACTTACTCCAACAAGGCTATACCTTCTAATCTTTCAAATAGTGCCACTCCCTAAGTACTCAAATATATGTGCCTATGAGGGTCATTCTTATTCATACCCTGTCACTAAATAATTTTTTTGTTTGCCCTTTAATTGTAATCTTTTAATTTATGTCCTTGCTCGCATGGACAAGAAAATTTTCAAAATCCAGGGAGTAGCGTTCGATGGTGCATCTGGTGTGGGTAGTGTGAAGAGAACTTTAGGGCTCTGTGTGACACGGAGTGGGGACATGGCCCACTGCTGCAACACCAGGTGGGCCCCAATCACAGGTTTTCCATCAGCCAGTCCAACAGCTGTAGTCGCGGGACATTTCCCACTGCCTCATCTAGCTGTCGCTCCTTCTCATACCTCAGCACCAACTGCAGAACCTCCCCGACGCTGTGGCCTTTCTCCACAGCAGTGGCTGAGAGTTGAAGCAGCTTCTCCTGGATTCCTTCATCATCACCAGCAAAGTACAAAATAGGGACATTGAGCTCTGAGGCAGCTACCCACTGTAGGACAACTTGCAGCTGCTTGTTCTGAACAGTGTCAGCCAGATTGTGGTTGCTGACGATGACCTTGGGTATCTCGAATCCCTCAGGCGGCTGTCCTGACAAACCTCTCAGTTGGTTGTAGATGGCTTGGTAGGCAGTCTGTAGGAGGGTTTCAGCTGTCCCTGTGCCCTTGACTGGTAAGCAGCATTCATATAAGTTATCTGGGAAGGCAGAATTTGGCCTGCTGGCATCCCCACACTTTTCATCTCCCAGCTCTGCCAAGGGATAGTCACAAGATTTGGCAATAATGAGGCATAACTTCATCACAGAGTCCTTGAGCTGTTCCACCATCTGCCCATTCATGCAGCCATCTAGCTGGTTGGCGACCATCTTGGTTAGTCCAGAAAAGGCACCACCAGACTCCTCATCCTCACAGAATTTCGGGGCAGGAGGGGTCACAGGCCTTTTGCACATATTGATTTCTTCTTCCTTAACATTCTGCCCCTTGGATTCACTTCGGTTACCCTTGAAGATGGTCTCACTGAGTAAGTTCCGGATAAAGTTGAAGATGACACTCATCATATACTTCTTTTCTGTTTGTTCTTGGTCACATATCTTAGGGGGAGACTTAAGTCTGGACTCATCGTGAACTACAGGCTGCTTGTTGGCGGGCAAGTTGGTGCTGGCAGCAGCTTCCAGGAAGCTCTGAGCATCCATTCTTCCTCCCTGGGCCAGGTGGTACTGAACCAGAAGCAGGGCTGACACAATCAGGTCCTTGGCCCAGGAGTCTGATTCACACATAAAATTTTCAAAAGTCTCTGGCTGCTGTGGAGGAGAGCTTAAGTCACAAGAGTCTGAAGACTCAAAGGAAACCTCTTGCTGATGAGGGGCACCCTGCTTTGCGGCACGATCAAGGCCAGGAGATTTACAATTGTCTTTTTGATGAGTTTTGTGCCACATGCTCAGTCCCTCCTTAGTAATGTGCTTGCCCAGAGTTTCAGCACATATCTTGTCTTTCTCTGGTTTGCATGCAGCAATCAAACATTCTCTCAGTTTTGATTCTGATTTCATCGCAAAGTTCAGGTTTGGTTGCCTAGGGTCACCACCTCGTGATTTTATGGAGATATGGGAATAGCTCTCAGACTTGTCCCTGGCTTTCCTGCTCTCAGGGAATTTCTTGGCAAACATCACACTGTACAGCTTACCCATCATGGCATCCATGATATCTGTGGCCTTTTGGCTTCCATGAGAAAAATGCTTCATTTCACGGCTTCGACAAAGTCAGTGTCAGTCATTAGGCTCCCTGTGACATTGTGGAGGTTTTTCATGAACGAGTCGATAAGATCAGAGACAACCTCTTTTGCATGCTTGATCAATACCTTCTTCATCAGAAGAGTGGCAATGGTTGTGTCTTTCACCTGGATCCTCAAGATTTTCATGATGGATACCATCATGTCAGATACCACATTGTTGGCATAGGTCATTATCCCTTGACTGACAGAGCTTGTAAAGTCATCAGTTCTGTCCTGGCCCCTGAATATCTTTCTTTCTCCAGGAAAGGACCTTCTACTGTCCTTGGCATCCCCTGCATTCCGAGATTCAAATACTTCCTTATAGAAGAAAGACTTCTTAGAACCAGGCTTGTCATCTGGACACTTGCCATCCTTGGTGCTCTCCTTGATCTTCAAAGTGCTTTTGTATCTTAGACTAGGGCTCTGTCCTGACCCCAAGGCTCTGTCTCCAGAGCCTGGAGCTTTGTCACCAGTGATGTACTTGGAACACGCAGAGACGGTCTCATTCACCAGCTCAGAGGCTACACTATACTCAAGCTTTTGTGGGGCGTGGGCTCACCCCCCATAAACAACGACTGATGGATACATTTGTTTTCAGAGCCATGGATCTTCTCATTGATCTCCTTCTGGGCCATGGCTATCACTAAGTTTGTGAGGCGGTTGGCATAGAAGGAAACTTCATCTATGGAATTCCCATTACCAGCTAGGACACAGGGGCCTTGGGAAGGGATCTCCTTGTGAGTCATCTTGAAATGCAATCTCCCTGGACTGCCCTTGTGGGCGGTATTGTAATAGTCGGCACAGAAACCTTTGCGTTGGTCTCCCGGGACGGGCACTTCCTCCATAACTGATGACTCTCCATGCTTGAACCTCGAGTCCTGGAACCCTGCCGTACTTTCTTCCAGGTCTCTGCAAAGCCAGCTGAGCACTCGGACAGGATCTGTTGATGCATCTTTGGCAGCGGCAGGCAGAGGAGGGCACCTCTGCATTCCTATATCTCTCCCCGACTTGTGCATTCTGTGCAGACTCTCGCTTTGCTTTTTCAGTTTTTCCTCCCTTCAACATGGCAAGTGCGGGGCCATGTCTCCTCCTTATCACAGCCCCTACCCCGCAGAGCTGTCTGACACTTTCTGGTAACAGCCCACCAAGTGTTGGACTTTGAAGGCTGGCCATTTTGCATGCAGACTCCCCAGCAATATAATGATCTTCACAGCTCATTCCATAACGAGGATTCTGTTTTTCCCTTCCATTTCTTTTTCTCTCCTCCAGTCTGCTTTCACTCCCAGACTCCCTTCTCTACACAACCTGCTACCCACCAGGTGCGTTCTCAGTTGGGTCATTCTTATTCATACCCTGTCACTAAATAATTTTTTAAAAAGAGAAAATACAGTATTTTTCTTTGAGTGTGCATGGGCAGGGTTGTCATGCTGTGAGTGTAGATTTCAGATGACAACTTCAGGAGTCCATTTTATTCTTCCAAAATGTAGGTCTGATGGATCAAGCTCAAGCAGTCAGGCTTGGCAAGAAAATCTTCACCAGTTGAGCCATTGCTACTGCTCATAAAATGATGTTTTAAATCCAAATTTGTTTATAAGTAAAAGTGGCTGCCTGTGAACTATAATTTTGCTTTCTCGATATATCCTGGCATGCAGACATTTTAAATATTTCTTAAGTAAATGAAGGAAGGAAGGATTAAACAAAATTAAAATTTCTAAGTGATAATGGTTGGTTTTTTGTTTTTTTTTTGTTTTTGAAAGAAGTGATGGTTTGAATGAGAAATGTCCCCCATAGGCTCAGATATGTTCACTTTTGGCCCTCTAGTTGGTGATGCTATTTGAGAAGATTATGGAACTTTTATGTCACAGAGCCTTGCTGGAGAAAGTATGTCACTGGGGGTGGGCTTTTAGAATTTATTGCTTCTCTCCACTTCCAGTTCCCTCTCTGTGTCTTGTATGTGGCTGGAGATGTGATCTCTCAGTTTCCTTCTCTAGCTGCCTCTTGCTTCCTGCCATTATAGACTTACCCTCTAGAACATTAAAGAAAAATAAACCCTTTCTTCCACAAATCACTTTATGTCAGTGTCTTATCCCAACAACAAAAAGTAATTAATACAAAGGACTTTCTTGGAATAAAATTTGCTGCATATGAATTTAAAATTGTAAAGTCATTAGGCAAAAATATACATGAATTTAAAACTATAAAGTTATTAGGTGCAGTAGGACAGGCAGATAGGCTTGAGGAAATTGACTCAAAACAGTTGACAAGGCCTGCACATAAGCCACTTCCTTATGAGCCAACCTGGAATCTGCCTAAAGGCCTAGCAACAGGTGCTGTCAGAGTTCCTGGTCACTGTCAGAGTTTCTGATCATACCCAGCCAATGAGGGATGATCATACAATGCCAGCAGATAATGACAGAGACTGGGTGCCTGGAGGAGGGTATATAAGGCCTTATCCATTATTAAATGAAGGAGTTCATTATTTGCCTTCAACTGACTCCCAGTGTCTGTGCCATTGATGCTGTGCCTTCTCATCCCCTCCCTTGAGGAAGTCCTTAGAATGCAGCAATTTCTGGCACTTGAATATGGGGCTTCTGTTACTTTCTCTCTTCCAGGATAGTTTCTGATCATCCCCTTCTTTTCACTCGTGGTGCTTGACAGTGCCCCCACACAAGATGGTGTGTTTCAGTAAGAAGGTCCCTCTGTGTTGTGTTCTTTTGGTCCCTTTGGCAGGTAAGCATTTGAACCCCTATTTTTTTTCGTTCTTATGTGTTGTCTGTCATGTTTGTCTGCCTATCCTATTAGGAAGTCACTTTTTTTTGTTTCAGTTCGCCCACATAAGGACTGACCCTCCAGGAGGTAGAATCAAGGCTCAGCTTCCGAATACCATCCCTTGTCCAGAGAGACCTTGTGAGCATACAGCCGTGGCATTAAAAAACCATGGAAGTCCCCAACTAAGCACAAGACATAAGGGTCTAATACAAATTTTCACCCCACTGACTGACATCTACTCTCTGACTGTTATTTGCTTGCTGTTTCCCTCTAAAAGATAGGTAAACTTTTCATCACCCCCCCATTTCCCCGTCAGATATCTCTATGATATCTGATAATGAGGAGACAGACAGTTTAGGCCCCATGAAGTTTGTCAGTATAGGCCCTACAAAATCTGACAAAGAGAACATAGCTGTCAGTATGGGCCCCCCAAAATCTGTCAAGGAGAATGTAGCTGTCAGTTTGGGTCCAGCTAAGTCTGTCAAAGAGAAGGAAGCTGTCATTTAGTCATGTGCTGCTACCCACTCTGCTCCACCACAACCCCTAGCAGCTACCCCTCCACTGAAGTATTCTTGGGGCAATCTACCCCAATACACACCTGCCTCAGAAGGTGGTTGTTCTCTCACAGTTCCAGGTGTCTTAAAACCCTCACAGCTTGTGCCATTGACAGTCCATAGGCCCATAGAAGCCTTTCCAGTCAATGTGGGCCCAAATGCTAATGCTCAGCCCTGGATTCCCATCCCCATAGCTGACCTCTCCCTTATCTGGAAGGCAGCCAATGAGTCAGGTCCAGATTCCCCCTACTTTCTGCAGGTCCTTGCTCAATGGTTCATGCAGTTACAAACTTATTTCAATTGGTACCATTTACTTAAAGCTGTGTTGGAGGCTGCATTTTTTTCTCGGTTGGAGATTGGCCTATGATGATCAGGCAGAATTCCAGGCCTGGGCGAACATCTTACTTTATGTCCCGGTGATCTATGATATGCCCACAGAGCATGGGGAATATGTCCATGTTGTGCACCAGGCACAGATTGGCTTGAGTGCCTATTTTCAACAGGTCTCAGGGCTGGCTCTCAAGGCCCTAAAAGCCTGTACTTCCCAGAACCACTCAGGTTACTTTCACGATCTTATCCAACAGCTTATGGAGCTCTTTACCAACTTCCTGGCCCATGTCAATGAAGCAGTAGAGGGCAGAATGGATGCAGGCACCACTAGAGATATGCTGATTCAACAACTGACTTAGGGGCTCAATGCCCAAACCCATAATGCAGTTGCAGCCCTGAAGAATGAATACATATATAAATAGTTGCAGGTCAGCAGAGATCTCAACCCCAGCACTGGTACCATCACTACTCTAACTGCTTCCCTGGATTCTCTCCTCACTGACAGGCAGCATGCTAATGATATCCCCAAGGGTCCCTAGGTAGATAGAATTTGCTGGGGATGTGGCAAACCAGGACATTTGTGGCATGACTATCCCCAGGCAAAACCTAGGACCCAATGCCCCAATACAATAAAGGATTTCATTGGGCAAAGGATTGCAGGTCACAGCCTGCTAAAACACCAGCCACTTTAAACTCCAGATGGGGTAGTACTCAGCCCTGCCAGTAAGAGGAGGCTCTGGTAATCCAAAAATCTGTTGGACAATGCCCATTTTTCCATACTCACCAATGCTGACTGTCTATCTTGATGCACAAGCTGTCAAAGGCTTGGTTGACATGGGTACAGATGCTACCATTTTAACTGAGACTGAGGTGCTTTGCTTCCCTCATTGGAAGTTTGAACTCAGTCTCCCCATCAGTGGTGTGGGAGGCCAACAAGTTGCTAAGATGATGACCCATCCAGTCCATTGGAAGAATCTTGATAGCAACTATCATTTCCAGTGTACCTAGGCACCTGTGGGGCAGAGATATTTTGGAGGATATGGATTTTGTCCTAACTACAGGTGACAGGGCCATTTTAGATGACATAAAGTCCATGAAAAGGAAGGTCTTGTGTTTCACAACCCTGCATGAGATCTGCACCCCCAATTCTAAGGGTCATTGTCCCCATGAGATCCACTGCTATCAAGGCCCCTAGCCCCACTGCAATGTGATGGCTATTGGATTGAGAAATATGGGTGGAATAGTGGCCTATAATTGAACCCAAGCTGTCAATTCTAAAAGAATTAGTTGCAGAACAGTTAAAGATGGGGCACATCAAACTGTTCACAAGTAAACACAATACTCCCATATTTGTTATCCTCAAGAAATCAGGATGCTACTGCCTCCTGCAAGATCTTTCTGTAGTTAATGGTCTAATCGAAAAAATGGGGTCTACAGAGCTGGGCCTCCCCCACCCTAGTGCTACTCCTCCATCTAGTTTTAGATATTAAGAATTTCTTTTTTCAAATTCCTCTGGCACCAGGGGAACAAGATTATTTCGACTTTATTGTGTGGAAATCTAATATGCATAAAACAGCTTAGAGATATCAATGGAGTCTTTGCCTCAAGGAATGAAGAATAGCCCCACTATTTGCCAGTTATATGTTTCTCAAGTTTTGGTCAATGTCCTCAGGGATGTTCTCTTGATCCATTATATGGATGATCTTCTCTTGGCACACCCAGATACAGCCTTTCTGCAAAAGACTACCAAGGGAGTATTAGAAGATCTTGCATTGTTACATCTGATGGTGGCTCAAGATAAGGTCCAAATGGTACCCTGCTTTGTCTTTTTAGGCTTTTCCATTGCTAAGCAGGTTTGCCCCCTTTTGTTTAAATTGGAAATGAAGGAATTGTGCTCACTCTCAGAATTACAACAATTATGTGGCATGGTTAATTGGCTTAAACCTTTATTACCTATCCCTGACCAAGAGATGAGATACCTCTTTTAATTGTTGGAGGTCCTCACCTGTCCTTCCACTAAGGTTAGGCTTACCCAAGAAGCTAAAGAGTTCCTATAGAAGGTTTTAGGCATTCTAGCCACCTCCAGGCTGCTACACCATGATTCTCATAGGCCCTTATTGGTAATGGCCCTCTGGACACCAGGGGATTCTTGGGAGTATTATGGCAACCTGGGCCCTATGGTGATATTTTATTTGTACTGAAATGTGATTTTATTTGTATGTTAATAAATAAAGTTGCCCAGGGGTCAGAGCTATTAGAGCCATAGCAAAAGCTGGGCAGTGGTGGTGCATGCCTTTAATCCCAGCACTTGGCAGGCAGAGTTAGGTAGATCTCTGTGTTCAAGGATACACCCAGCATTGGAG